TAAAATCACTAAGGCAGACTTCCAGGGTTCCCACACGAAAATCAAATGTCGACCAGCTGTGACCTACTTCAACACCATCATCGGAAGTCAGAAGTTGAGCTCTTTTTTGATGTTTAAAAGCCAGTATAATATTCGCTGTATTATTATTCAGTGTATTACTATTTCCTTTGTGATGGAAATTTGGTTTTACCAATTTTCTATTCCATTAAAACACTGCAACATAGAAAATCCCCATGCATATATTTATCCTAATTGTGGAAATATTTTACATAAAAGACTCTAGACATGGGATGAAATTACCAGGTTATTAGAATTTTAAAATCGATAGGTACTCCCAAATTGCACTCTTACAAATTCTATGAATTCATAAGCTTCCAAGTGTTATGGAGTTGCCCATTTTGAGAAATCTGTGCTAAAAGAACCCAACTATGCTGACGACAGTGATGAGGATGATCAGGAGGCCGGGAAGACAACAGAGTGATTTAGATCTTAGACAGATCACTGTCGGTGTCTCCACTGGTCCAGCTCTTGCATTCGTTCTTGTGCTTTTTCCTTTCACCAAATAAAATAGCCCCTTGACATCACATGAATCCATGCTGTGCTTAATGAGTATTGCTTAGTAAAATGTCTACGACTAGTAATCTTCATCTATACAATTATTAATTTGTAAAACACTTCAAATGTAAGCAATCAATAATTAGTAAATGAAAAGTACATAATTCATCAATTAGAAAAAATCACTATTAAAAAAGTTATTTGTGTGATAAAAGAGATTGCCATTTTTGTATTTTGTATTGCCATATTTGTATGGCCCATGCCCATAATCTCAGCACTTTGGTAGACCAAGGTGGGAGGATCATCTGAGGTCAGGAGTTCGAGACCAGCCTGACCAACATGGTGAAACTCATTTCTACTAAAAATACAAAAAATTAGCCAGGCATGTTGGCATGAGCCTATAAATCACAGCTACTTGGGAGACTGAGGCAGGTGAATCGCTTGAACCTGGGAGGCTGAGGTTGCAGTGAGTCAAGATAGTACTGTTTCACTCCAGCCTGGGCAACGAGAGTGAAACTCCGTCTCAAAAATAAATAAATTAATTATTAAATAAAAGCCTTTACCCCAGAATGCTGGATAAATTGGCCAAAAATGCTAACCTATGCATTTCAATACTACAGAATTCACGTTGGTAGAAATAACCAGATGAAATACTTCTGGTATTTCACCTTCCCAACCCACAGGAGCCAATGTTTTTTTCTGTGAATAACACAAACAGAATTTACTTCCCTGTCCATAAAAGGTTACCACTTCTGTGTGTTCCCCTGACACAGGTGGTGGCTGGGTGAGAAGGGGGACAGCACTGGGGCAGGAGATGGGGGCTCCAGTATTGTAGGCGAGTTTCCTAAACCTCTGCAACTTTCAGTCCCTAAATGGGATGAGCCACGGGAAGTTTTAGCACAATGCCCTGAACGAAGTAAGGATTTGACACCTGGCACTTCTCTCCACATTGTTCTGTCATCAGCCACCACGTCCTGCACCTCCCAGCCCACTGGGCTCCATCTGTTTCCATCACATGGAGAATGACCCAGAGCCTGGCCTCCAGTCACCCTCCTGGCCTTGCTGCTTCTCACTCTGCCACTGGCTCCTCACAGACCAGCCTGGGTGTCCTCAGACATACACACACTTCACTGTGGGAGTCACGCAGCCCTCACGGCTCCTTCCCCAGGGAGCCACGGGGCTTTCCTCCTCAGGAGGACTCTGCGAGCACCTGGATGAAGGGCCCTCCCATTCCTCATCCTCCCTTAATTTTTGTTGCAGCTCTCCTTCCTTCCACTCAGTGCAGCACACACTGATTGATCCTCTATCTTCTCCATAAAGACAGGAACAGCACCAGCAGTAGAGTGTAGATATCCAATGATAGAAAAAATAGTCAATGATTTATCATTTCCATTTATCATCAATTAAGAAACCGTATGCTGCAGGTCATGCACCTCCTATGGGACTGCTGCATCCTCAGCCTCCTGAATTTCAGCCCAGCACCTTCCTCCCCAGCACAGCAACAGGTCATCCTCAGTCTCCTGAATTTCAGCCCAGCACCTTCCTCCCCAGCACAGCAACAGGACATCCTCAGCCTCCTGAATTTCAGCCCAGCACCTTCCTCCCCAGCACAGCAACAGGTCAGCCCTGACCAGCATTCCTCTCTTACTGCCTTTGTGCAAAGCCAGGACCAGGGCCAGGTGAGGCCTTGGGATTG